ACTATATTAAAATTAATATTAATTTTTATTTTTTTAATATATTTATAGCCAAAAAAAAAAAAATCCTAACCTGTATTAATGGCACAACCAGAAAAACCCTTTAACAAATTTCACTTAAAATTCTTCTCTTTTTTTCTTTGGTGCATGGAACTTTACAGTAGAGATAAAGAAATGTAGGATGTTTCTGTGTTTGTTCTGGGGCTTACTTTTTTTTTTTTTTTTTGACAAGGTTCTGGGGCTTACTTTCCCAAACACGTAAAGATGAGAGGAAGAAATTACTCTCATCTGATTGGCTTGACTAACTGTACTAAGATTCCCAAGTCTCATCTGGTTGGCTTGACTAAGTCTATATTGCGATGTATTACTTCAAAATTCTTAATGCTACAATATTGTCATTACAACATTCACCTGTCATTTCCTTTTGAGTGGGAGGCGTTTGGAGATGAAATTTTGAATTTTATAGTCAGACATTATTAATTCACCCACCTCAAAGATTTTTCTAAGTTCAAAAAAAGAAATTGTTTTATTGACTTTTTTTATTATTTTTTACTAGTTAAAAAAAGTTTAGTTCTTGCCAAGGAAAAAAGAAAGGTCAAGGAACATGTGCGAAATGGAATATTGAAATTTCAAAATTTTAGACCAAGTGAGGTTCCCACAGTGTAAAGTCATTAAAAACTAAAATTGAAAGTAAAATGTTCAATAATGGTTTAACCTTTCATTTATAAAATTACTGTAACCAAATTGTGGAGGCATATTATTTGAACAACGAAGCAACAAAAATAAATAAAACAAACTAGAACTTTTCAAACACAAAAAGGAAGAAGCATTGAGCCCCACGTCATGGAATAAATGCATTAAAGTGGGAGAAGTCCCACTTCGATTAAGTTAAAATGAAACTTGCAGTAGACCTCATGTGGTATTTGGGATCACTTGCATTTCTAACGATCCCCATGGTTCACTTGAAAATAATGGCTCCAAGTCTAATGACAAAGCATCGTCTGTAGAGGCACCAGCCCGTCCGTTGGTTACTTCAAATTTGACATAACTAGTCCTTTCATGATTTTGCTGACCAGTTGAATTGTTTAGCAAATGACGAATCTGCTCCAACTCCACAGCAACTTCTATCATCTTTGGTCGCCTTTTACCACTCAAACTCAAGCATCGATATGCAAGTTTAGCAACCTTTGTTGTCTCTTCAAATGTAGAACTCTCCCTAACTCGAGGGTCAAGAATATAAAAGAGATTGTTCTCTTCCATTGAAAGAATGAAATGAGCAGCCAAACCTCTTGCTTCCTCTTGCTTCCTCTTCCTCTGCCCCTATTAAAGAAATTGGTTTCTTTCCAGTTAAGAGCTCAACAAGAACAACTCCAAAGCTGTAAACATCACTCTTTTCTGTAAATTGACTGGACCGGAAATATTCAGGGTCTAGATATCCAAATGTACCCTGAACATTTGTAGTCAAGTGAGTTTGATCAATGGCAATTGATCTCGATATGCCAAAGTCTGAAACTTTTGCTCTATACTTTTCATCCAGTAGAATATTTAAGGACTTGATATCTCGGTGATAAATGGGATTGGAGGCTGCTGAATGCAGGTAGGAAAGGGCAGCCGCAACTTCTGCTGCAATTGTTAATCTTCTTTCCCAAGATAATGGGAAGTCCTCATTTTCATCATGTATGTACTGGAAAAGTGTCCCATTAGGGATGAATTCATAAACTAACATAGGAACTTTAGTCTCCAAACAACACCCTAATAACTCAACAACATTCCTGTGGTTAATAGGGGAAAGAATGACCACCTCATTTATGAACTCCTTAACTTTCTCTTTGTCCAGTACTTTTGACTTTTTAACTGCAACAATTCTTCCATCAACCAACATTCCTTTATAAACAGTGCCTTGGCCTCCCTGACCAAGTATTCTATTTCTGTTGAAATTGTCAGTTGCCCTTTTCAACTCCTTGCTACTAAATATTTTGGTCTTTTGAACATTACCCTCAGTTGAAGACAACTGTTGCTGCAATAATAAACCTCCATTTTGTTTGAAGAGCTGCCTCTGGAGCTTCTTTTTCCTTCTCTTCTTTAAAATTTTGTACAACCACCATGTACCAATAACAATTAGTAAACATGCTACTCCAAGCACTGTGCTCACACCTGTAAATAT